ACCGCTTAGCCCTACAAGGGTCCATGTTTCAGCGAGGCACATGCACGAAGGTGTCCAGCAGCCGTACAACGTGTCTCCGTGCGAGCTCGGGGTCATGCTTCCTCTGCTGACGCATTGCAGCCGCTGCGAAGCTTAGCGGATTTTTGTGACTCTCCGGTTCCGATCGATGGGCACAGCTCCCGAACAGTGAAAGACATCAAAGGGTCCCTTTGTGATCAGATCAAAGCTGTCGCCAGGCTCAAGGTGGTAACTGGACACTGCCCGAGCCGTAGGGCTGTGTTAAAGGGCCGCATGGAGCTGTGGTGGCGGCCTCTCTCCCCGAATCTCATAATATAGTATAGTATAATGTATAGTATATAGTCTAGTATAGTATAATATAGTCTTCTCAGCTTCGGTGCATCAAGACTGTCGACACCACTAATGACTTCTCAGCGGCTGCAGCTTTCGGAGCATGGTGACCTCTGTTTCTGCGTGCCTGTGCAGGTCAGGCATGGCAAGATGATTTGTACCCCTGGACTGCGACTCCCACTTCCTTCATCGGATGATTAGTCTGGTATTATGAACGACGCCACCATCCATGCAGCGAAGGGCTGTTGCATCTGGATAGTCATGATTTCTGACTGATGTGCCCCAAAATATGTTTGGGTCAGAGAGGGGTTTGTCAGCGGGGCGGGCAGGGCCACTGGCGACTGATTGGCACTGCACTTCGCACTAGGTGCCTAGGTGCATACGAATCGAAAAGCAAACACACACACACACACCCACACACCCACACACCCACACACACAGCCACAGACACCCACACACACACACAGACACAGACACAGACACACCCAGCCACACACACACACACACACACCCACACCCACCCACACCCGCACACACCCACCGCCACACCCACACCCACACCCACACAGACACACAGACACACAGACACACAGACACACAGACACACAGACACACAGACTCACAGACACACAGACACACAGACACACAGACACACAGACACACAGGCACACAGGCACACAGGCACACAGGCACACAGGCACACAGGCACACAGGCACAGGCACAGACACACACACACACACAGACACACACACACAGACACACACACACACAGACACACACACACACACACAGACACACACACACACACAGACACACACACACACAGACACACACAGAGACACACACACACACACACACAAACACACACACACAAACACACACACACACACACAAACACACACACACACAAACACACACACACACACACACAAACACGCACACACAAACGCACACACACACAAACACACACACACACACACACAAACACACACACACACACACACACACGAACGAAGCATTTTGAGATATGTTGAGTATGGGCTGCCAGAGCAGCAGCGCAGTCTCTGAAGTTTCTTCAAGGGCTGATCCAAGGGAGATCCCCCGTCCTCCTGGTCCGCCTCGAAGGTCGGGACACCTTCCTGAAATGCCGCTTGCACTAGGGAATGGGGAATGGGGAGGGTGCCTGGATACTACCCGCACCTTGTGTCCAGACTGAGCACGCAAGGTCTCGGGACACTCCAATTGCAGCTTGGCGTCACTGCTACCACGGTGCCTTCGACATCGTCGCGGCAGCCTCATTGACTGAGAAGTGATCTGCGTCGCTGCCGCAGCCCGGAATACTGTAGGAGACTTTCGGCCTGGAGTTTGATGATGTTAACCCAACTGATAGCAACCTCCTATCGCACAGCACTCATAATTATGTCAAACGGCCCAAGGCGCCATGAAAAGGGCGCTTGTGCCACAAGCCAGTTGCAACCCAGAAATGAACCGAATAGCGGAAGTGAAGTCCTGAAGTCAAGAAAAACAGGAAATTAAGCAGAGATCGCGAGAGTGAACCATGCAGTTATACGCAACGCCTGAAGATGCGAAGTGGGACACAGTTACCTGTCGTGTACACTCTGCTTAAGTACCGTGCGCAGGACGCGCCCCGAGGCACCATCCCCAAGGGCATGCTGGACGATGTAGCGGCCTGATAGCGAGGATAGGGTTTCGGGCGTTGCAACTTTTCGGGTTGTCTTCATGGGTCCACATGACCTGTGACGAAGCATGTGTTCATCTCGCTACGGCCGTAGGGATGTTAGAGCGGGGCCCAGTCGTGGTCACATCTGGTTGCTTGGCTGACAGAAGCTTGTGACATGGCGTTGCGACGCAGTTCTGCTCGTTCTCAGCCGCAGTGGACTGGGGACGGTTTCATGCTGCTCGTGCCTTCATCACCCAGCCGCTGTCCAGGCTCAGGCGAGATGTGTGGCGGTCCTGCATCTGGAACGGTGGTTGTGTGTTGACATGTGTTATTGGCGGAGCTGTCAACCCTCGAAATTACACAACGATGCTGGCTGCACGATGAGAGGAGCATTGCCAAGACCGCGATCACTCAGTCACCACCGCGAAGGTCCTCCATCCCTGCATCTGGGCGAGCGCCGCCTCCTGTCAAGTGCGAAGCAGCCAAAGGCGAGAGCAGCACATGGATTGGAATCTGGAAGATCATTTACGGCAAAGGACGCCCCCTGCCGGGTAATGAGGTGATGATGGGACACCGCCCAGCCCCGGCGGCACGGGTTGCCTTTGACCCTCGCTGCTCTCGCTGCTGCGCCGCCGTCGCCGCCGCCTGTTGAAAATGAAATGTTAGCTCAACTGACGAGGACGGCACTTATTCCAGTTTGCAATCCGCCCTGTCAAGCATGCTTAAGATCGCCATGTGCCATCGCTTTCCTATACTGCACTTTGCTGATGCAGCCTCTCCCGTCGACCATTGGAGCCTGGGACGTGGGTCCGATTGAGACGGTCGGGTAGTACAATATCAGGATGTTCGAGGACGCGCATGCTTGAAAGTCGATATACAAAGGAAACACCAATGGGCACAGAAATAAAGGGGAGACACACACACACACACACAGACAGAAACAAATGATCAAACAAGCACAGAGGTGAGCAAGTTTTTGGGCGAGAAGTACGCGGCACCCTCATGTCCCCTTGTTGCAGGGTTTTGCAAAACCGGAAATTGAAGCTTGATGGGGCAGCTGTCAACTTGACGAACAGATTTGAGCGTGGAACGAGTGAAATCGTCCTTACGACCAATCGCGCGAAACTCAGACTCCTGCCAAGTGCCATCGCTACCTTCATGACTTCGGTGCTGTTTCTTTGGGAGCCGAAAAACAGTTGCCAGCGTCGTCATCATCCAGGGGCGGGGCTCGGAGTCTTCCCCAAGTAGGTACGCTTCACCATTACAGACGAAAACTGCTCAGGACTGTCATCGCTTCCTGGTCAGCAAAGAAGGCAAGCAAACTCAAGTGAAAAGGCAAACACGGAAAGCCGTGACAAGAGCCAAGCAAGCACCAACAAATCTGCATTTAGTGAAAAGACAATTCCGATCGAATTCTGTGCCAGGCGGCGCTCGGGACGATCGACAGGCCTGGGCTTAGATTCGCAAGGATGCACAGCTAACAACGGCAACATGGGCCCTTGCGCTTCCAAAACAGGAATTTCTAAGTCCGCAGAAGATGCCATGCGGGGGAATGCTAATTATTAGGCCGCGCTGTACACCTCATCTGATGATTCAAAGTGGACTGACGCAACAGGTCCAGTAGACGAGTAGAGTCGAGTAATCATAAATAACAATTGCAGTATCAGTCAATGCTTCACGGAACCTCTCGCTGCGAACGCAAACGCATCCCGAAACGCTTCGCTTCCAATTCCACGCAGCCACCTCCCTTCTCCCGATGTGCCCAGTTGCTCTTGGCTCCCACTGTCATGGCCTCAGCCGCTCGCAATTTTGTTAGTTTGGAATTGAGTTGCTCGAAGAGACAATGTCGGATTAACTGCCCGCAGTTGGAGCGGCTCTCAGCTCCCATGTCGGCTCTGGGAATTCAGACAACATGGCGGAGTTGACACACTGCTTCCTCGAACCACAACGCAACCTGTTCTGATTTCCAGGTCCCCAAAGACCCCCACTGCGGTTCCGCCGTCGCTTGTGCCGGCGGCGCTCACCTGGCTCCGCGTGGCGACGTGAGATTCCAAGTGCTGTCCCTTTTCCGAATGCTGTAAACGGCATGGCTTCAAGCTGAAATGTTTTATAGTGATGTTGGGCTTAGCACGAGAGGGCCTTCCGTGTTTCAGCCAAAGCTTCCGCCGGGCCAAACAGGAAGGTATGCCTTTTATGCTCGTATACTCTACATCACATCACTGACTCTACTCACCCACCACCCTCGGAATTTGTGTTGCAAAGATGCTGCTTGTGTTTGCGGACACGCAATACGACGGTTCAAGAAAGCAGAAACTCCGAGGCTCCCCAGCAGAGCTCGCACTTCTCTTCAATCATGGCTGGCCCACCGTCCCGATGTCGAGCTTCGGCCATGCGGCGAGCGACGTGGGACGTGGCTGTAGCTGTTGCTGACACCACTTCGCTTTGACTCTTTATCCGAATGCTACAAGTATCTCCAATACGTACTTTCCAGCACTTCTTTGAGGTTTTTCCGTGGCCCAAGAGTAAGACTAAGAGCACGACTCATGCCCTAAAGCCCTAGGCGGCTTCGGCTGGGTGGGCATTGGGCTCGCGAAGGGAGCCAGGGTCAATCGGTCAATGCTGGGCGCCTTACTTGAAGATACAACTCATTTGCGGGCTGTCTCAACAAGCTCTTTGGGCTTGAAAAAATGCCGCATTCTGCTTTTGCTGGCGCAGGAGACTAGGGGACGAGTACTTCCCCAAATCGTTTCTGCGATGTGGCAAGCATGAAGCCCACATGTTTCATGACCTAAAAGGCGTTAACGGCACGTTTTGTGCGGCTGCTCTGGACTTGGGCAGAAAAAGCCGCGAGAACATAGATACCGAGCTCATACATACCCTGAGTCCTCTTCCCCGGTCCCCCGAACAGGGTGTGATTCAGAGCCTGGGGCATGGATAAGTCACGTGCATCGATGCGGATGAGCCCAGCACGCTCCTTGAGCACCAGCATCCAAGGCAGCCCGAATCAACGGCTTGAGATGAGGATGGATCGGCCTAGGCAGTGGCCGAAGACTCCAGGCAGTAGTTGTTGCAGCCGCAGTGCCACTAGCCTGGAGTTACCGATCCTCAAAGCCCATGATGTGAACAAGTGCTGCCTCAACATCGCCCATCCACTCCGGCGAGCCAGACACAGGATGACTCATGGATCAACCTTCCATTCCGTTCCGCATGCCCCTCTGCAGGTACTGTCTGGGGCGCTTGCGCACGCTGCTCTTGGTGCAGGGCATCCTGTTGCTCGACTTCTTGGGCGGGGCTGAGGACTTTCCGGTTTCTTTGGAGAGCCTAAAGCAGCAGCGCATTTACCTGGATAAAGGAGGAGTCAGCGCATTGTTCACGATCAACGGTGTTTCCAAGCGTCGGTGATCTTGCGACTTTCCGATAACTCTTGACAAGCTGCAGCATGCACAGGGATCAGGCACAACAATGAAAGCGCGTCTCTCTTGTCACCATGTTTTCAGGTTGAAAGTTGCCACATCAGAGGCCGTTCTGCGCACGGTGGTCCATGCCTCTGTACCATGTCGAAGCCAATCCATGTTGCCGGTCGCAAAAGCTGCCACCTTAGCTCTGCCCGTGAGGCGCAAGTCCAGAAATGCATTGAGATTAAGATGCTGGCCAGCACCGCCACGCGTCCGCAGTTGAAGATCGCATCCTTGCAGGGAGCATCAACCGTTTCAGGTCTGGCTAGGAACTCAGGGTTTTCTCGACCTGTGGCAACTCAGCGTCGGACCTTCAGGGCGATCTGCTCCTTCAGAAGCAACCGGGCCTCGCTGGTCTCGGTCCTTCAAGCATTCTTGGGCAGGCATGCCAAAACTGCCGTGCCTTCCCCCACTCCGGGCACAAACAAACAGACAGACAAACAGTGAGACGATACATACACCCAGAAACACAGATTTGTGCAGACACAGACTCAAACGCACGCAAGCACACGTCGTCGACGCAGGCAATTGCCCGAGACTGGGCCACCGAGCGCGTGATCTGGGCAGAAAACCACGCACATCAGCCCATGTGGCATTGTCACTCGGTCCGTCCACCTTGCAGATCAATGCAATCTGCCGTGCTAGTTGCACTGGCAGTAGTCAGTTATGTCCAGGGCGAAGCAGCTGGTGGCACCAAATCTTCGGCAATGTAGGCAATCCCAATTGAGTCTGACTAATCTCTTCCTGACTCATCTTGAACCTCTCCTTGCGAGCCTCAAGTGGCACTCCTCGTCTAAGGCCAGTGCCAGCGCTTGCCGTTGTGGATCCCAAGCTGAAAGCCTCCATAGATGCAGGGAGCAACCTGGCGTCAGGATGAATAACCATGCCCATTTTTGAACCCAACCTTGGAACCTGCAGACACTGAGAACACAACTCCGGTCTCTCTCCGAGGCTGCAGCGTTGTCTGGATGGCCTTCTATGTTGGTCGCCTGAATCGGGCTGCAGATGGAAGAGGAAGCAGAACGTGCAAATCACCATCGCATCATCAAGAGCAAAAGAGATTCGCAGTGACGACTTCTACTTACTTGGTACCAGGCGATCTGCAAGAGCTCCTCCTCGTTTTTCACCTGCGTGGCTACAGTACTGCATCAAAGATTGAAGCAGCTCACAAGGCACAAGCTTTCGCCGATTGCCTTGATGATGCTAGACTTAGTCTCCTGGCTGAGTGGTCTAAGCACCTGTGGGAAAGCAAGACCTCTGGCTGTTTTCGAAGCGAAGAGCTTGCAGCTGTGCCTTTGCCCATGGTACAGTATGCATTTGCTCAACGTGCCGCAGCGGCAGAGTGGATAGCTTCGGACATGTCCAAGCTGGTCGTTCCGTTCCAGGTATAAGCACACGACTTTCTTTGCTCACATGCCGCCATTCAAAGGCCGGGCGGATGTCCGGGCCACCCTCTCGAAATTGGGGACTCCAGCCCACAAAAGTTCGGATCAAGGCTCATCAGAGATCGGCTCCGTCTGAATGGTTGAGGCCTGAGAGGCCGCAGCCAGGCTGCGAGGAGCCACGGCACGGCATTCTGTCACGTGCTTCTGCGATGCTAGTCCAAAACGCTGAAACATCCCAGCGAAGCAAAAGCCAACAAACGTAATCGCTTTGACCTACCACAGCATCCCAGACCTTCAGTCCGACACATGTGGTACGGCGTACGGCACGGAAATCAACCTCACATGCCCCAAGAGGCGAAAGCAGCGAAGCTAACCACGCCGGCCCCTGCAGCCGCCGAAAGCACCTGCGGCACGGGTTGCTTAAACCTAACATCATTCCTACGTAATAGTATTAGCAGCCCGTAGCCCTGATGATCATGCTGCTGGTGCTGAACCTACGGCTGAGGATGGATGGATGATGATGATGATGCTGCTGGTGATGATGGCGATGAAGAGGATCACCATCATGATGGTCGTTATGGTGAGGATGATTCGCAGGTGGTCTGTCTGATAGTGTGATGGCTCAGAGACTCCATGGAATTTCATGTGAATTGCGAAGGCGCTAGATTGCATGCTGCGAATTGGCTTGATTCTCTACATGCAGCAAGGCAGCTGTCAAGGGGCGGCAAACGCAAAGGCTCCGAAACGGAGAAGTTTGCGAGGTCTACGATCGACATTTGAGGGTTCAGGGGGGCTGTATCGTATGGGAAAAGCTTAAGCGCAAGGTGGACACTGTGACGCTGGCATGCCGAGATCTTGGCGTTTGTGAGTCTGGCTTCGAATTCGCACCCAGACTGGCAGCCCGCTTTTCTCGAGAATATATTACTGTAAGGGTCGAACAGAGTCAAGCAGGGGCTGTTCTTGTGTTCAGGGGCCGCAATGCCAGGTTGCCCTTGACCTCCGAGTTCGACACTTGGTGATGGAATTCCATGCTCACACTGCGGCATCTGAGAAAGACAAGTTCAAAGGCTTGCGACCCTCACGGTTTCTTGGACCGAAGATGTGGAGCTGAAGATACGTATGGCAATCCAAGCTACGCTTGGCCAGCCGAACTTGGAGTCGAGCAGTGCGCCCACTATCCTCGGTGTGGTTTCTCCCAGATCAAAACTCACTCATTTCTCACATCACCACCATCGCCATGCCACAGCAATGCCAAGGCATGTTGACTCCGGGTTCATCACAACCGCCACCGCCACCAATCCAACACCAGTAGAACAAGCAATACTTTCGCTTGGGGATGTGCGTCTGCGGCCAAGCTGCATGTTTCCAACAGCCCCTGATAAGGAGGCGGAGAGAGTAACGCAGCCAGCCTTTGGAAGGTCTCGGTTTACAGCTTCCTGGTGCCTAACACTGTGAAGCAGCCGAACGGCCTGAAGGACCAAACTGAACGCATCACAGGTGTACAAGACAAGAACTCCAAGACCCGGAACACCCAAACCGGAGTCCAAAACTACACGGCAAAGGCGATGAGAAGAGACAGCACAGGATCCAGCATGGTCGGACAACATACATTCAAGGTGAACCGCTCGCTCTCTGCGATCTCGGCGTTTGGCATTCGGCTTCAGCAGATGACGTCATATTGGGGATTTCGAAACATAAGGGAGACCGTTCTGGTGTGATTCTGTTGCTGCGGATGTGTATCATAGTCCGAGCGGCCACCCTCGCGGTGTTTGACAGTCCCCCAACATCCACGATGTTGGAGCTATGGCCTTCGGAGATTCATCGTCCGGGCTTGCGACTCAACAACGGAACTGCGTCTTCTCTGGCAGCGCTGCGAACACTGGTCACTAGTCAGAGTCATGGCAGCATCAGCACTATTAACATCAATGTCAGATCGAGCAGGCTACTTCCAAAGTCCTCATGTCAAGGCATCGCTTATACCGGAAGCCGAGTAAATGATGCTTGCACTCTTACGCTCTCACTCTTTAACCGCTCGCCAATGCGAGCCGCAATTACTGATGCTACACGTAGCAGTACTAGCTTCGTAACTGAATACCCCTAAGATGCCCAAAGACCACCAACCCCAGCAAGGACCGTACTGTCAAAAGCAAGCTTTCCTCTTGATTTGTGGGTTGCTTGACTGGAGACTCATTTATGCTAAGCTTCCTGAACTTGAATAGAAATTCCACTGAAGTAGACTACTAACTACTACAAATGTCCCGAAGCCAGAAGTCCGTCGCCTGATCCTTTTGCTGCGACGAGGACCACCGTGAGAACAACCAGAGCGACAGACAGCTCGGTGGGCGAGCGCAGGTACAGCCTGTGCAGCTGACACAGCTCTCCGGATTCTCCTTTCGCAAAATTTGTACCGCTCGAGTGAAACTTTCTAGCGGTTCAGCGGTTCTCGCGTTCCTTCTCTCACTCTTGCACACAGCAGGCACTCGCGTTTGAGTTTCGCAGTGTTGGCAGTACTCGTTGTGCCTAAGGCTTAAGGCAGCGACTACTTAACCAGCAGTGGTAGGACTAGCGGCAGCAGCGGCAGTCCTCGTCGCGCGTCACTAGCAGCAGTAGGACGATAAACACCAAAAGCAGAAGCTCGGCAGCAACAGCACCGGCGGAGGCGGTGCTGGTAGTTATGGCGGTTGTGGGAGGGAAACAGTCATACAATCCTAAATAACAGCTGCAGCAGCAGTACGCAGAAACCTGAACCTGCTTCTTCCTGCCGACAGCCCCGAAGCCAAAAGACAGCCTCTTCCCTCAAGGCTCAGGGTGCCTAGCAACACTCGGAGAGCCAGTTTGTGTGACGGTCTTGTGCAAGCATCCAATGTGCAGTGTGCAAGGTGTTCGACAGTCGCCTAAACAGGCATTCAAGTCCAGAAAGACAGAGGGTTGCAGGAGAAGCAAGGCGATGACTTCCGCTTTGGGCAACACACAGGGCCCGCATCTCTGGTGAATGAAGTTCCGCAGGAACACTCTAAAACCCAGACAGCACGCCGGGGAGAACGCGGACCAGGGAACCCAGATGCCGGCTTGAAGCGGGATCTTGGAAAGAACTCCAAGGTGAATGCAGAGCTGAGTGCCTTCCAGCCGCGTGGCTCGCTCTGTCAATGAGAAAGCTGCGAAAGCTGAACTTCCAGGTGCCAGCCCTGAGGCACAGTCAGTTGCCCATAGGCGGGAGAAGATTGGGCTTGGAAATGAGGGCGATGAAACGATGCAACGTGTTGGAGCTGTGGTCTCCTGTGGGTCACCCGCAGCTCGGCGAGAGGAGCTGCTTGGCATGAGGCCATGTTGAAGCAGCAGAATGGCAGTTGCACCCTCTCACGATCTTGAAGACCACGCCTTCTTAATTTCTGTCGATGGCAAGGATTCTCTGCTGTGCTTGTTGGGCCAGGCTTCATGACAGAGCAAGCGATCCATGGTGGCAATCGCAGCACACTCCGGCACCACGCAATTGTCCTGCTCTGAGTGAAAAGCATCTCAAAGATCCTTCGTCTACTCAGCACCGCTGCAGGACGGAACAGAGCTCACTCCCTTGATATTTGCGCAACTCGGCGTCTGTGACGTCGTTGCAGACCAGCAGCCAGAGAAGTAGCACTGCAGGCGCGCCAGACATCAAGGAAGCCACCTCAAGAACCATCACCACTGCAACACGCTAAATGCCTTGCTGCAGATCGATGTTCTCCTACTTAAACACCAAGGAGGCCAGCATAGGCGTACAATCGTTCAAACGGGTTATCGGTCAACGAACTGTTGAGGAGCTTCCAAAGCTTGGTCTGGCAGTCTTGCTACTCGCTCATGTGATATTGGCTCCACAAAGTCGGGGCACGCAACTACTTTCAACAGAACAGAACGGGATCAAAACCGCTGCAAAAGATCACATCGCTAGTGCAGCCGCGTCACGGCCCCCATGTAGAGGCGGCATTGGCGCAACCTGGGCATGATAGGTCGGGCGACGCCGCAAGAGGCATCATCTCGATCGTGTAAGCTTTGCTCAATGGTTGGTGTGGGTGTTCAGCTGGTTAAACATTTTGCAGGGCTTCACAACACCAAGACTTCCTCTAGGCCGCCAGGCAATCCTTCATAACATTGCCCTGTCCTTGACATGCTGAGCCATGCCGTTAGAGAGTGACCAACCTCCGGTAAACACTCCGCCTCCTTGTCGTGCAACACCTGCTAAACACTGACAAACGCCCTGCAGCTCTAAGCACCAGGCGTCCAGCGGCCGCTTTTCAAGCCTCAGGTTTGCCGGAAATGCCAGTTCACAGGACCTGCGGCCTGGTTGAAATCTTCATGTGCATGGGACACAGACTTTGACAACGGTGTTTGGTGCACTAGCACTAGTTCACCTTAGCCTTAAGTGACATGGAACAGGATCTGAGTTGGCTAAACATGTCAGCTCAGTGACACGACTAAACCCAAGCGCACATATCTATCTACCTATCTGTATTCATAAAAAATAGTATCATGTACTACACAAGTATGATGTGTTGTGAGTTGTGACATGTTATGGCGTGATGTGATTGGACCTGATATGGTATGGTAGGGTGTGATATGGCATGGCATGGCATGATATGATATGGTCTTAACAGAACAGAATGGAACAGAACAGAACGTAGTAGACTAGACTTGACCAGAATGGACTTCTACTTAAATGTAAACCTAGAGACTTAGAGTAGAGCAGAGTAGAATTGTACTACTAAACTGCTACATTCACCACATGCGAGTTTCCGAAAACAGGGGACCCTATCATAGTACCCTAAAGAATATACGGCGCCCTTATCTTCACATATTCTCAAGGAAGCCTAGGAAGTCTCAGGGTGTGCCGGGTCCTCACGAAGCCTTCCGGGCACCAGGCATTGCCCAGAGAGCTCCGCCCAGGATAGAGCAGCCTTGTTTGAGATCACCGGGTACTACAGAGGCCTTTGTAGTTAATTAGAATAAGGTTTGGGGCCCGTTATACAAAATAGTATAGTAATTCATTTAGGGCCCTAAAGTACCGCCCGTTGAAGGGTTTCGGCACACTCGGACAATCCAGGCGAGGTATGTGGCTCGAGGTCTGCTGGGTTTAAGGTTTAGGGAGGCTTCTTCTCTAAACCCTGAAAGCAGACGTTGCGTGCACTGGAAGTCTGCATTCCATGTGGCGGGTGCTGCGAGCCAATAGGCGATCAGTCCCATCGTTCCGGCCTCCCCAGTGGACCTCGGGATCTTTTGACCCTGGCTTTCAGCGGCTCAGGGCCGCTTGAATGAGGGCTTGGGCTTGGAATTTTGAACGCATGTTCTTTGTTGGCAGGTTGCAAAGGCTTCAGCAGGGAGTCAAGCAGTTTGGCTTACGCGTCTTCTGCCGCTCTTCTGGAGTGCATGTCGGGAAACGAGACCGGCAATTTTCATGCCTCCCGCCTGGCTAGGACGAACCTACGACCTACGATGCAGGGACCGGCAATTAGTGGAGCGGTCCTTCCTTTCCGTGAAACCCCCCTCAGGTGCTGACATGCCGAAGTTGTCGTGGAAGAATGACGGCATCCATGACAGCCACAAGTACCTGGACTGGCCGGGCTTCGCCACCGAATAGCATGAGCGAAACGGTGCTGCTTCCCGAATGCCCCTAGAAGCCACAATTCCCAACGCCCCTGGCTCCGAGGCACCAAATGAAGGAAAGGCAGAACTCGGCCACGATGAGCCCTTGAACCGATGGATGCCTCCAGGCATGGCCCGCAAGGGCCGCAAGGGTCGGAGGAGCTCCCGTGCTCTGAGGCTCTGAGGCCCTGAGAGGTTAGGTCCGGGTTTTAGCCGGAACTTTTAGCCGGGCCAGGGCTGCTCTTATAGGGTTTCTCATTGCGCGGTCTTTCCCAAAGTGAAGCTGCGTCTGTGGCAGTCGAGGCCTAGACCCTGTGATTCATGTGATAAACTCATCCAAGGGATCCCCAAGCTCCAAAATCGAATCGAACTCTGCGGTGCCAGACCCTAACATCTGCCGGGCTCGCCTCAACAATTGGGCATATGGCAAAGGAGCCGGGCTTGGCGGCTCAAGCCCTCAGTCTTGCAATAGATTCGAGGCTTCACTCTTGGCAAGAGCTTTGCCTAATGCCTCGTTTGTGTTGGCCCGTGCCTCACTGGGGGGGGGCCCCGGGGCCCGGGCCTCAAGGCAACAGTCCGGTTTCTCGTTAGCCGCTAGGGATATGGCGGTTTAGGGGCTCCAAGCTAGACCTTCGACGCCGCGTGGCGCTTGAGCATCTCCACGCTGCGGCGCTCCGCGTCGCTGATGTATCCTGATCCCCAAACCCTACGGCATCCCCGAGTCATGGAGTCGTCCCCTAGAGTATAATTATCCTGAACACTTCATAGCATCTCAACCGGAGTAGCTAGCCGTATCCAGCCGCACACCCGAAACTGTGAGAATCGACTGCCCAGCGACGGTGGGCTTTGGGGCTGTCTGCACCATAGAACGCAAACACCAAGCTCCAAAGCCTCAGCTTCCATCGCGGCACACTGCTTTTTTGGTGCTGTTGCTCTCTGAGATGATAATGCAAAGGGCCCAGGGCGCCCCTTGGCGCCTGGGCACCTGTCTTCTTACAACAACTGTGGCCATTGATCATTGTGGCAGAGCTGCATGCCCGCCGACCCGAAGACGTAGAACATGATGCGCCAGTCCTTGCAACTTGCAGCGGGAGCTGACGGAGCTGGCATATCAGCAGTAGCAGCTAGAACACTCGTCTGGCTAAGCCAGCTAAGCCATTCAATTGGCCTATGTTCCTGCAGAACATGCCAGGGCTCCCTTGCGACTTACCTACATGCACAACTGCCAGTCTTGGATGAAGTCAAAGCTACGCCAATGCTCTGAGCAGGCCATGTCGTCAGGTGACAAAGCTCGACTGCATATCAATGGATGCAACAACAGCCAAACACAGAATCTGACCAATCGAGACCAGGTAGCCTTCTCCTCAGTTGCTGCAGCTGTCAGGGTCGGGGGGGTGCATGTCACCTAAAGCACGTTTGGAAACGCGTATAGATCCATAGATCTGTGCGGTTTTGCACGGATGCGGACGAACTCGATTAGCCTCCTGCAGGCGGCTGACTTGCAAACCAAAAGGCCGTGATGCGGGAGAAGCTCATTGACATGGCGGCCCCTATACACTGGCCCGCCTTGGCGGGACGCGCTTCGGGGACGTTTCGGTAAGCCCGTAAGCGCGCTGTTGTTACACTGTTACACACTTGGCTGTGACTCGAGGGGCAGTTTTGAAGCGGCAGGAGCTATCACAGAACGCCGGAAGGCTAGATTTAGCTCCAGAAGGCAGCTCAGCAAAGTCCCAGCTCCTACGGTCCTACACATTGGAACCATCCTGAAATCTGAACCCTGGGTACCTTCCCCGGCCCGAGATCGCTCTGCCGAGGAGCAACACCAATACTGACAGACCGGGCTTGCTGATGCTTGGGGAACCAGCCGGAAGTTATCTGATAAAGGCCTCGGCGGTGATGGGAGCAAGCAGTCTTTTTGTGTGATGCCTGGCCCATTCGTTTCTGTGACCCTTGCTGCGACTCTCTGTCTGATTCGCCTCCTTCCATGTCCTCTTCAGTCCTTGCACATGCTTTCGGCCGAAGGGGCATGGCGCGGCGACCGCTTCGCCGGCACCAAGACCCACACGGACAAGAATGAGCAGGGCCTGGGAGCAGAGGGGAATCTTCCAAACCACAAAGACATGTGGCTTCTTATGTGGTCCATGCTAGAACCTCCTTTCACCAGGAGCCCCTTCCTAGCCTAAACCACCCTCTGTGCAGTTTCAATGGACTTCAAAGGTCCAAGAAGAAGCGGGAGCGATGAGAGGAATGGGAATCGGACGCCCGCAGCTCTGAGCGGACCTGGACTGAAGAAATTTTGTCATAGAGCCGAGCTTCCAAAGAGGTGTCTCCACAGATCCTTGGGCCCACGGATTAAAGGCTCTGTGCAAAATGGCTTACAGTAAGTGCTGAGAAGTGGCGGGGTAAGAAGGGTACATAGTGACCAGAAGATGCATCCCAAGAGCAACCTCAGCCACAGGTCACAAGAGGCGAAAGGCTTCTCCGGCGGACTCCTTAACCGCTTGTGCAATACCTCTCTATGCCCACTTGTGCAACCTGCCGGGGTGGGTTTGACCACGTCAGAAACTCGCCGGAACACTATTCCTGAAAGTCGATTTACATGTCCAGACATCCAACTTTAGCACTTTCAAAGCAGCCCGGCAGCGTCCAGTAAGCACCGAAGACGCCGGGAGATGCCAGGTAGCCAACGAAGAGCTCAGCGAGAGGGCTTTCGACTTGCGACCCGCATTACACAAAGGCTGAGTGCTAGGAGGCTCTTGGTCTGATGCAATGCGTGCTGTTGTGCAGACGAAGAGTTATCACATCTGCTTGCTCTAAGGGCTTCACGCTCTCCGATTGCATGCTCAATTTCCCCACCACTCAGCCCTCTCCCTGCTGCAGCTCCAAAAAACTCAACCCTTAAAAGGGGAACTCTTGGACGATGCTCCCTAGGGCGTCATCTTAGCACATCGTGTGGCTGCTGGGTGCCTGCCACTTTCTTCCTCTCTTGGCGACGAGGACCGCTCTTACACTGGCGCATTGCACAGCTATCAGTGAAGCGGGGTACTGTAACACGGAATCAAAGAATTCGTGCTGACCAGAGACCGATGATGGAAGAATCCCCACATACACCTTAGGTGGGATGGATCAGAAAATTTCGAGATCGGCGAAATAATTCAAGAACGTTGTTCCCAGCGGTGTCCTGGACATCAGAGATCCCCGATCTAGACTGCTGTTCCAGGGGCACATGCAAGCAACATGTCCCACATCTGCCAGATTCTCGGACTAGCCTTGATGTCGCGAAGTCCTTGCCTTGATACATACTCTCCTACTACCGCCCCTGTTTTTGCCATTGCTACAATTAACGATGACAATTCGTACTACCCGTGTGCTGCTGGTGCTGGCGGTCTTGCTACTGCTATTGCCACTGCCACTGCTACTGCTGCCACTGCCAGTGCTACTGCTGCTACTACTACTACTGCTGCTGCTGCTAGTACTACTATTACTACTACTACTACTACTACTACTACTACTACTACTACTACTACTACTACTACTGATGCCGGGTCGCTGCGCTTTGGATGAAGCCTTGCCTTGAAATTCCAAGGGCGACATGTACGATTCTCACAACTCGCGGCTGGGCACAGCCAGTGACGGGTGGAGAACGTTTGAGGGCGACGAACTGACAGTGGTGGGCTTGGGCTTCACGGCTTATCGGGCGTGTTCACAACCATATTGGCGGATCCCCACACACAGACACACAAATCGTGTGCATCATATGTCATAGCACCCTTGGCACCCTTGATTGGATCCTACTCGAGCACGCACACACACACACCAAGATGTCATAAGGTAACTAACGGCGCTCTTTCTCCGTACCGCCCACAGCCAATAAAAACCCAGACAATCAGAGACTGAGCCACATCGATTTGGAATATGACCTCTCCTCGGCAAGCTCCAAGATGGCAACCTTTTTCGGGACTCGGCCGAAGCACGAAGGTTGAATTGGGATGCTGAGTTCTCGCCTGTCTGATTCTATGTTTTTTGTGTGGTCATCTTATCTCTCATTCTCCTTCTCCTTCTCCTTCACTACTTTGACTCTATACTCCTTTCGAGCCCGCCTTTCTCAGACCTACTCTGCCTGCAACTTCTCTGGGCTCTTGGCCAACATCGCTTCAGACGTGACACGCGACACAACAGTCCCGTGAAGTTTGCTGCGATCGAATGAATCAATAGTTGCCCGGTGCTTCAGCACATAAGGGTTGAAGCACGCATCCCGATCCATAGTTCTGATTACGCTCGTGCTTCGGGAATGATCATGGAGGTCAGCTATGCCTGTGCTCGTGTGCTCGCATGTACTTCCTTTGGCTCACACATTTCTCGCCCTCAGTCTACAGTAGTGTACAGCAAATTACAGCAGCAGGGCTGTAGGCAAAGGTGAATCCTTCTCGTAACACCGGAACGCTCTCAGGGCCCGAGCCGAGATGTTGTATCTGTCCGCGTAATTCAACCTGAAGCTCTCACAGAGCAAACCACTCCGCCGTGCAGTTTGAAAGGGGTTTGACTCGGGCTCGAAGCCAGTAAGGGCAAGCAGCAGATACATTGACAGCATCATGACGGTCATAAACCTCAGCTGGCAAACTCAACCGTCGACAATTTCCAGGCCGTAGGCAGAAGATACTTGTTGGCAGAGGCAGCCAGCTGGGTCATCGTGTAAATTCATCTCCAGGCCTAATTAGCCCCGACATGTCATCTTGCGCCTCCACTACTCCAGTGTGGGATAGCTTGGCATGACAAACCAGCCCTGTAGAGAAGTCCGCACGGGCAAGGTCCCAGTCGCATGCGCCATGTTTGCGGTGCTCTTTCGTCTGTTGCAATGTCGGAAACCACCTGGCAAAGGGGACTAGCAACCACACGCGCAGCAGCAGCAACAACAGTGCAGTCCGAGATGACCTGTCTGCCATCAGGCCGGCCTCTGACCTTTAACTCTCTCAAACATGAATAGCGCGGCAGGAGCATCAGACCGGCCAATCAGGTAGTTCAGCACTATCATGACGATGAGCAGTGCTGCGCCTGAAAGCTCCGAACAAGAATTGATATGCTACCGGACTCATTGACGGAAAAAGCAGGGATCGGAGCTCGTGGACTTCATGCTGGCTCAATGCACTTACTCTCAGCCACCGTGATCATGATAAGGAAAGCTTATGCTTTACTCTACATCCCTGTCGCGTGTGCTGTCTTAGGATTGGTTCCTGGAAAAGAATCCAGTATCAAGCAGCCCCGAATGACAGACCGGGTTCGGATGGGTTCGGCATAGTGTTGAAAGCTTGACGGCTTCTGCTATGTATGTAAGCCCTTGTAAACACCCAGTATGCTCATGTGAAGCCATATCAACTTCAAAACCCTTGCCAAACCCTGTAAAACCCACCAAACCCTGCTTAAGCGCTGTAGCAACCTTACAGAACCCTTGCTAACGCCGGGCCTATGCCGACCATTGTACCTGTGGAGACTTCCTTGACGGCCGCTGCCTCCTGATCGCAAAAGGCAGCCCAAAAGCAGCCCTTCGGTAATCCCTTCGGTAAAGGTGTTATGGATAGATAGACAGGTAGATAGATTTACCGACAGAAATAAAGAGAGATAGTGTGTGTGTATATATATATATATGCATATACGACACACACACACATCTATACATATATATATATATATCGAGAGAGAGAGAGAGAGAGAGAGAGAGAGAGAGAGAGAGAGACATTTTCTCAATGTATAGGGGCCTTAATCATGAGAACGGTTGTTGGTGTACAATACACTATTATTTCAGAGGGAGATGTGTATTTTTCCGACCCTTATAGTCACCTTCTGAAGAATATGCGAGGTGCCGAATTCCATTCAGAAGCCGCTGGTTTTCCTTAGAGCTGTGAGTATGGGTCTAATTGCACCGAGGATTCAGAGACTGGCACCAACCATAGCACTTCCTCCTTCGGGCTTGCCTTGCGCCCTTAGCAGGCACCCTGACGTGTAGGGCTCTGAAACAATTAGGACCCGTCGGGAACCGACGTGGAAGCACTTGTGCTTTTAAGGATGCCCGCCACAAATCAGGTATCCCTGAGCGCAAGAACCGCCAGGCCAAATTAAATGAGCTCGTTTTCGCCACCGCTCGGCTCAGTTTGAGGTTTGAGCCACATCTGAAGCGATTGGCTGGCTGGGGCCTGGCTCTTGTTATCTGAGGCTGCGCGATGCATCGAAGGGGTTAGGGCTTCCAGTTCAACACGGGTGGCGGTCTTGTCCAGCGACCTGCCTCTCGAAGGGAATCTCGCGGCGCTGCATACTTCAGAACGTCGGGTGGCCTGACCAGCGGAGCAGTGAGGGTCTCGTTTTATCTGGGTGCTTGGCTGCTTGAATGTTCGAAGAGTTTGATGAAGTAGTCTTTGGAAACAAATGACCGAGGTCAGCTCTGTGCCTCCTACATTAATATATTTCTCGGTCATTCGGGGTCTGGGTTTCAAGGTACTGCTTGGCCGATCTCTGCTTGTGCAAGACCTTCAGAAAACGAAGGCAACCATATGCTTCCAACAGACTTTTCCATGCGAGCTGAGATTCGCCATGGGTGGCCTCAGAACCTACGGGGTAGTGAGTAGCATAATCCTAGAAATTAGCCCCAACATCCGAATGAAGATGCCTACCTCCCTGAACGATCCATCTCGCTTGAAACTGTTGGCCTGGATACCCTGTCCCCAACTTAATGCCGGAAACTGACGTCTGACGTCCCGTCCAAGGTTTTCACGCCTGATCGGGTCGGTCGTCTGGTTCGCCAATCGCACTGAGACCAGCCTGTGCATAGACGCTCTTGGGCCAAAGCTCGCTTCCCACACACAGCGCTGTTGCACACAGGCGCCCGCACACAACAAGCAACAGGTTAAGAAGGCTGCTTTGCTGCGTGCTGTTGCTGATGTGGTGCACTCGCGATAGTGTTGAATTGCCCAGTAGCCGTTACAAACAGTGCGGGCGATGTTGTTTTCTTGGTGGACGGGGGATAGAATGATAGAAGAGTCACGTGGTTCACCTCGCGGCCACCGTTGAGCATCCTTGACTGAACTGTGGACGGCTACGGAGTGTTTACTTGTGGCTAGACAAGCTGTGCCAGTCTGTGAGATCACGGAAGCGTGCACTGGGCACTTCGCCGTATCCTACGAAAGTGACGAAAGCCTGCAACATGGAATGCCTCTCGGTTTGAAGGAAGCAGCTATCCAAATCAGCGTCCGGATCGAGCTGCCCACCTTGCGGCACGAAGAATACATGCAGGCCTACAGTCTATCTAGATGTCTACATGTTTCATCAACGAGATCCCGCATCGCACTAGAGCTCTTTCCGCCGTAAGCTTCATCGCAAGAAGTGGCCGTGCCCAGCGCATCCCAGCGCTATGTAAGCCAACGTACTGATGGCGACATGGCAGTGCGAACAACAAAAAGGAGGTGCCAATTGCCAAGGCCTCTTATATAGAAGGCTCGAATGTGAACTGTGCAAAAGAAAACCTGACTGGGAAGACAAAAGCACCGCCACCCACTGGAAACACAGTCAAAACCGAAGCAAGGCAAAACAAGTGTCTTTCAAACTCCCTTTCAAAGGCCAGGATGTGATGCTGCAAACGGTGATTAAAACAAGAACACAGTCGCAGTTCATCTCCCAGCCTGCCAGAGTCGCGGGAAGTGCAAGCAGGCAGACTGCCCGAAGCGGCCAGAGGTGCGTCATTGGGCTCGCCGCTTCATGCAGCAAGTATGTGCTCTGCGGGGCTGGCAACGCTCCGTTCAGAGCTCTACCCGGATTCTTCGGAAAAGCAGAGAGCAGCTTTGTTTTCGAGCTGGCTTAAGACTCGAGACCTATATTATATTCGTTTTTCATCTCAGAAGATCTTGCGGAATACATAGAGCATGCAGGTCAGACCGACACGTGGAGTCATCAACTTCAGACTGGAACCTATCCTAGTCCTAGTCTTGGACACATGGAGAAACCCGGTTCGGTCGAAGGTTTGCCCGGGCTTGAGCCGGGCAACCTCCGACAAGAGCAGTCAACCAGGAAGGGGCACATTGCAACTGGCATTGGCAAAGCACCCAAAACCAGGCTTCTACTTTGGCTGTACGAACCCAGGCTCGGATCCTGCATGAACTTGGGAGTTCCTACGATTAGAGCTCATTGATATAATAACAAGCATGGACAACATTTCAACATCGTAATACTAGGATCCCGCGCAAACAAATGCCCCTGCGTGCCACTGCTACCGCTGCTGCTGCTGCTGCTGCTTCTGCATCTGAACTGCTGCCTTTTCACGGCTACGGCTGCGACTTTTGCTGCTGCTGCTGATGATGATGATCATGGGAATGCAATTGCAACAACAACAACAACAACTACTACTACTACTACTACTACTACTACTACTACTACTACTACTACATACTACTACTACGACTACGACTACGACTACGACTACGACTACCACTACGACGACCATGACGACGACGATTCCTCCGACGACTACACTACCATGACCACCGCCCCTAGAGTATTTGCAATTGGTACTAGCACTGGCGGTATTGCTAGAACTACAACTATCAATTCTAGTATTGCCACCGCCGCTGAAGCCCCGAAGAAGTGCGCGCTGCAAGGGTTTGAAGGTGCATGCCTGGAGGTTAAAGCCTGCAAGGGCCAACCCAGCCAGGATCCCGGACACAATGGCCTCAGAGCCAACAGAGCAGACCATGAAAAGAGGCTTCAACTGCATGGGTTTAGGGCCTTCGAGCTCCTTTCTCCGTTCGGACGCCCTATGGCATTCCGTCACGAGGCTCGGGTGAACTCATGTTCTGCGGCCCTCTCCTCCCGCAGCGTTTTGCAAGTGTTCGAAGCCCGGCGACTTGACGTCCCGTGCAAGAGTTCATGACCATACCTATAGCAAGGCACTACATGCTTGTCGCAGCACCTAGTCAGACCTAGTCGCTGAGTGGCGATGGCCAAGCACAGTTTTGCAAGAGTCGTTATGCGAGGTGAACCCCTGATGACTTGTCCAGATCGCCACACTGCTGAAGACGACCCCATAATCTTTGCGGACCACAGCGGACCAGCTTGTGCCCTCTTTCCATCAATTTGCTCGCGACGCAGTTTGGCAGCGCAGTTGGGCCTGGGCGCAGGCAGCATCAGGACGAGCTGAGCTGATCCGATGCGGTGCGTTTCCGACGCTAGAATCGCCAGAAGCAGCTCTGGATGCATCTCGGGGCACGTCATGAACAACCAGGTGGATGAAGCCTTGACCTCTGATCGCAAGGAAGGGGCTCCAAAAGATGTGCGGAGTCGCAGGCCGTCGCATTGCTGCCAGAGTGACTGCAAAGGATTTAGTTTTTCCAATAGCTGCTGGGCGGTACCCCAGCGGCCGGTAGACTTCCTCGAAGGCCTTCGAAGGACGCTGCAACTCAACGCTACAACTATGCGAAGGACCCCGTCGTTTCTTGACTCTGCGCAGTGACCTCGCCGAAGTCACGCCGCGCCACGAGCTCCAGCGGTTCTGGTGCAGTCAATGCTGCCACGGTCGCGTGCCTTGGATTCCACCCATCGAAGGGCCAATGCATCAGACAGGGGGGCGTGTGACAGCTAACTTGCCCCGCAAGCCACTGTCAGGTGTGCTAATGGCTTGCTAACGTCTTCTTACAATTGTGCAAAAACTCGATGCCCAAGGTTGATTCTGAATGATTTTAAATGACGGCACATGCCGGCCAGATCTCTGCACTTCAAGATTTTCAGGGCTCGGTCCACGCTGACTTGTCCCAGTCGACTTCTGGTGAAACGAACTCCTGCGATCCCCAGGCCACGACCGACCCATCACAGATTGCCATGAAGCCATGGCTACAGGCGAGTAGGTGCTGAACCTGAGAGCATTTCGTGCCGTTGCCAGCATCGCAATTCCTGTAGAGGTCCCAATGACCCCATGTCACCACAGAGCCGTCGCCTCGCAGGGCAGCAAAGCCATGGTGCGCTGCCTGGACCTCGACGACATCCTTTTTGAGCTGTTCCGAAACATCTCGGCTGTCACCACCGTAGTCAGGGTCTCCCCAGGTTACGACCGACCCATCCAGGCACAAAGCGGCAAAAGCACGGCAGGAGCTCTGGAGTTCCTGGACGTCTTGCAAAGCCAAAGCCACTGAGCTGCAGTCGCCACCACGCTCGGGATCACCCCAAGCTATCACAGAGCCATCATGCAAAATGGCCGCACATGCATAGGGCCCGGCCTTCAAACACTGGACATCTCTCAGCCCCTCCATAACCTCGCCGCCGTAGTCGGGATCTCCCCAAGCAACAATGCCCTGTTTTGACGTCAATGCTGCGAAAGCAAAGCCCGTGGCCTCCACCTGCTCTACACTCGCCAGCCTGTCTCGCACATGCTTGCTGTTACCACCACGATCCGCATCACCCCAAGTAACCACAGACCCGCAATCTCGCACTGCTGCGAAAGCATACAATGTAGCAAAAATCTGATGCACGCCGACTAGTTCTTCTTCAGCAAGCTTGCTGCTGCGCACGACTTCAACGTCCCCCCAGCAAACAACCGAGCCTGAGCCCAGCAAGGCAGCGAAAGCGCTCATGGATGGAACGATCTGGCGCACATCCTGCAACCTGGAGCGCACACGATCGCTGTCGCCGCCATAGTTCCGATGCCCCCAAGTCACGACCGAGCCATCCTCACGCAAAGCCGCGAAAGCACAGAGTGTGGCCTGGATTTGGACCACATCCTGCAGCTGATGCTTGATGTGGCTGCTGTCCCCGCCGCATGGAACATCACCCCAGGTGAATACGGAGCCGTTCGCTCGCAAGAAAGCAAAAGCACGACCTCCGGCACTCGCCAACTGCAGCGGCCTTGCGCAGGCCGTCAAAGTCAAAGTTTCCCCATTCCGGATGCCCAAAGCCTTGAGGCTCAAGGCTGCCGGGAGCTCTCCGGAGGCGCCGATCAGCACACGCAGTCCAATCCCCAGCTCGCGCCCGGCACGCGTCTTCAGCTCGGACACGGTGGACTCCAGGCCCACTTCCAGGCAGATACCCCTGCCGCTGAGGAGGCTGATGGTCACAAAGACCGTCGACATTCTTTCACGTCAAGCAGCCGAAGCCCGAGGCTCACAAAATTATCAAATCAGGCTCAACGACACCTCCGACTTAAAGACTGCACGCAGGAAGCTGCCAGCACCCCGGGGTTTCAGAACCTTCAAAGAGCGAATGCTTGCCAAGGCACTGGTCTGTCAAACGCAAATGGACCTCACCACCTGGATGGATCAAGGGATCACTGGCATGCTTCAAGGTGCAAAGAGGTGCAGCATAGAGCGACAAAGTCCAGCAGGCAAGGTCAACTGTAACATTTCAGTATGGTCCTGTGCTTTGAAGGTCAACTTTAGGGCATCCCATCCCAACTTTTTGCAATTCACTGAAGGCCAGTATCGATCAGCACTTAAACGATAAATCACTGACGAAACTCATGAGCATCGCCATCGCCGCCTGTTGACTGTCCCCCCTCCCGCTAGCCTGGCTTCAGAAGGGTGGATGCCCCGCTGAAGAAATCACCCAGGACCATTGAAAGATCCTGCAGAATCCATTCTCAGCATTCAAGCTTGGCAGCTTACAGAAATGCAATTGGCAGTGCGTTTTCTTGCTCAAAGTAAGCTCTGCGTGTATGTGCGCTGTATGAGTCAGCTTGAGCCACAATTGTCCCTAGCTGCTCGTTGGAGGATAGCAGGACAGCATCGTTTTGAAATGTGGCCGGGGGTGATGGGTATCTTGCCCCCTCTTGGTGAGTTTCCGCTGCACTGAGGATGCTTGATTCTTTCGGTGCCCCGTGAGAAGTTCGTTTTTCATGGTCTGGCATCCTGACTCAAGACTCTATGACGCGGCTAGCCGTGCCCTGGCAATGGTTCATGAAGTCAGCGATGAGTCATCGAGTTAAGTGGGCTGCTCCTTGCCAGCTTCGGACTGCAGGACACATCCAAGTTAGCAAGGAGTCGCCTGGTAGATGCGCCGCATCTCTGCAGCGTGGCTTTGGGCCATGGGCCCGGCCAGGGCGCCCTCGGCAGCTCGGGATTTCGGCGCCAAGGGGAAGTTGAAAACGACCTCAGCCGTGAGGGTGTTTTGAGGCGTCGGCATCCGGAAAAACTCAGGAGGCAGCTGGGCTAGACATGTTCTCGGTACAGCTGAAATTGCAACCCAGCCACACAATCGAAGGATGCCGCACGGAAGCGATAACCTGGTCGTTAGAAGAAGGCATCTTATCAAGCTCAGGGGCTGCTCCGCGCCTTGACCGATTGTGGGGTTGCTGAACTACAGAAGTTTCCAGAGGAGCTCGGCTGCAGTTGTAGCGGTGACTTCCCTGCGAACTTCAATTCCGTTGGCTGCCGGGTCCCTCCATAGAGCTGTGTAATCCATTTTGTTCAAGCCTGCCTCGTGGTCACTCTGTTTTGCAAACCCTAGGCCCTAGGCCCTAATTACGCGCCGACCTGTCCGGCACGACCTCCCTAAGTGGACCTTGATCAGGCGATCAAACCCCGTGTGCTTTGGCCAACACAATCACTTTATGCCGGCTGCTGTGGGGTCGAATTCTCCGTATTACTTCCTAGAGCCATGCTTTTTCACGAAATCCTGCCCAAAGACGCAGGTCGGCAGCCGCAACAGAATGGTAAACCTGAGCCGTGCTGCGTCCCATGGGTCGCGTAAGGCGTAAGGGGACATGGCTTGACGCTGTTTGCATGCTACGAGCACGCTTCACCCCCAAACCAGCAAAGTAACGCCGACAGCGACGAAGACCAGGCCTTGTGAAAACAAACCGAAACCTGATATAAACTGTAGAAGTAGAAGCTCAACATTCAACCTTAAAGCCGCATCTCAATCAGCCTGGAAGCTGTGCCGCATCGCGCCTCCAGAAAGCCTCAGCAAGTCGTCCAGTCGTCCGCTGAAGCCAGGCACTAGATTCCAAGGGATGTCGCAAAGCCGCCAACTTTGTACAAGCTTGGGCCTTGGGGCTCTGGGAGGTTCATGGACCGCCACACCTGCAGGAGAAGATGGTCTGCTTGTACTATAATTAATAGAAGGCAAGACTTGGGCTCGTGATTTGATGCCCCTACCTCGGCCGACAGGGAAAAAAGCCACCTGTGTCAAGTTTGCTGATGAGCCACGCATTCTTCTGGCGGCAGCTGGACCAAACCTGTGCACGGCAAGCTCCACAAACACACCGGACACCAAAAAAACAGGTAGGAATACGGCGGCTGCAGATCCCCTCTCTGGATCTTACTGAAATGGCCCAGACAGGATGAAAGAGTGAAAGAATAACGGAAAGCAAGTGCAACGGACTTCTGGTGTTTCACGGATCTGAACGGGGGCCTCTGAAGAACCTCGGATTCGGACTCGAAGGATGTTGCCGTGATCCCGCTGCAATCATCGAAGCATTTGCAAACCTCATCACTTGACGAAGAAAGGATTCGTAGGCTTTCAAACCACCAACCCTTGCCCTGTAGGCCATTCCAGCACTCACTCTCGGACATACCACAGCGAGGATCCCAGTCACGACGACGGCACATTGGCCCACTCTCAGCACATTAGCCAAGGCAAACATTAACACATCCCTCTCAAGCTACTTCCACAACTTCGTCGGCATCGAAAAGACCACAGGCTGGCTTGCACTTGCACTTCGTCCAGATTGCAGGCAACTCTCACGTCCCTCAACATGCACACGCACCCATGTCAGCAAATGACAGGACCATCTCGTTGCAGCCACCTCACAATCGCCAAATTCGTAAATTCACATGCAGTCAGCATGCATCTGTGCTCGCAGTTCCAAATTCGCAAATTCACATGCAGTCAGCATATAGCTGCACCTGGTCATCGCCTTGCAGAATATCAAATTCTCAACACCACATACAGGGCCATTCAGGTCGGAGAGCATTGGGGGGGTTTTACTCTCTCGCACCTCGGACTTAGCCAGACGAGGTCGCTCGGTTCGGATGGGCGGCCCAGGGTTTACGCTCTCGCAACTCGGACATGCCTGACGAGGTCTCGGTCTCTGCACTAGAAGCTGATGATCAGTTCGGCGCCACAGGACCGCTGAACAATGCCAAAAGCTACATGTCTTAGTAAGTGACAACTGTTCATCAGCTGCTGTTTGGGGTCTCCACGGTTCAGGGTAATACATACTTCGTGTGCTTTCAGCAGTCGAGATCACTCGGTGTATGCCTTGTGCTTGCAGTCACGCTTGAGCACTCGTATTACGGAGAGTGCTGAGACGAGCATCTGACTACTAGGGCCCCCTTCCCCCAACAGGAGACTCGAAGATCCAAAAGCAGTGCTGGAAAGCTGCGGCAGATGCGAAGCTAAAGTTTGCCTCTCCCAGGAAGAGGATCTGCGAGTCCTGCTGGTACCTGAATAAGGGACTGAATACACTCGAATAGGCTCATAGATTATATTACTATACTATGCATATTGTATTTTGCCTCCTGCCTCCTGCATGGCTGAGTACACGAAGCAGGGAAATTTTGTGTCATATTAAAAACATACTAGAATACATATATATATATATATATATACACATACAGGGAACCCCCCGCCCGTGGTAAGGACATATTGTGTGAACAAGTCTCTGACAGGAGCGTTGTATCGAAAGGGATGGGCCGCCCATCACCAGCACTGGCTACTAGCTGCCACGTGCCGTGAGTCAACAGAAGTTAACCCAGGTAACCCTACCACCCTAACACCCTGAACCTGCCAGAACATCCTAAAATCCTCCTCTGCGGCCGGCAGACGCCACCTCGGCTTTCAGGCAGCCGCGTTCCACCAAAGAGCCAACGAAGGGCTCCTCACCCGTCAACTGGGGACTCAACCAAAGTCCCATCCGTCAACAGCGTAACACTGGACCCAAGCAATTTCGGCCCTAGTTCAAGAACCCCCGTCCTTAAAAATATGGGTACAATGAGGCCTCATTGGGGATCCTCATGTTGAGTCATGAAAGAAAGGGGGCTGGCGGGTTCGGTGAGCAAGGGTCTAAAACGAGGCAGGTTAGGAGGGTTACCTTGGGGCTCGCAGCAGCCTCTCAGGATTTTGATGCTCCAGGTCTTGTAATCGTTGGTTTGGTTGGAGAACGTATTTCTCCCCACTGGCGGGTGGAGTTTAGCGGACGCCGGAATCTGCAATCGGGGCTGACGGCTTCTTCGCACCTCGCCACCTATCGATGGACACCGATCTGAAAGAGTGTGTAACATGCCCAATGAGATGCGGGTCCTTGGGAATCCTCGGGGCGAGCAAACGCCGCATTCGGCAAACATGGCACGAGACCGGAACTCTTTTCGGCCCGCCTTCGCGAGATGCTACCGGTATCACTAGGACTGCTCGCGACGAAGACGTTTCAGAGACATGTTTTAGTGGTCGGAAAACTGGACCTTCTTTGTTGCCCTCCCTTCAGCTCTATAGGCCTGCCATTGTGTTATGCTCACACAGCCGGCACGCTGTCGCCAGATGGCTCGCGGGATAGTGGGACGTTCTGGATGTGGAAGGGCATGCTAGGGGAATGGGCCGCTTCACTGCATCACATGGCCCGGGCTCAAAGATCCTCGGCCTAGGCCTAGGGTCCTAGAGTTGGCGTCCCTGTGGGTGCCCGGCCGCAGATGAGGAGCCCATCCCTTTGGCAAAAGGGATGCGATTCCTTGGACTCTCCCGCATATCGAACTTGTAGGGCAGCATCGTCAGGTAGGATACATGGACCATGCTGCAACATTCGCACCGGGGAATTGCAGGTCCAAAACATGATTCGGCTGGGCACAACTGAAACGCGCATTTGAGGCATCGAAGAACTGATGTCACATGACGCAATCTTCAGCTCGCATGAACAAGAAGCGTCGCATGCCACGTCATGCCAGGGTGCAGCGTGTAATACCGAAGCGTGGGCACCTTGGAAGTCATGGCGTGAGCTTCGACCGGTTGCAAAGCCGCTTGCCGCTTCCCCATCTTTTGGCTAGGAGCTGTTCATGTTAGCATGGCACACCCTACAGGACCGTCCCCGAACCCTTCCTGATCTGCGGTGGGCCTCTTGGTCGATGAACTTATAGGCCGCTTCCACGCCCTTCACCACCTTGGTTAGAACGATCGACGCACCATTTGCAGCTGGGACATTGGCCCGCTCATTCTTCGCATGCCTGCTTGTGTGGGTGATGCACATTCCCGAAACAACCATGATTGAAACCCGTGCCATTAGCGAGTACACCGCGCGGATAGGCCAGTCCGTGGCAACTGGGATGAGCAAGTACGGGACCAACAGGAAGACCATCTCTGACTTTCCTTCACGTGCCCTGCTGGTCCCTTAATGAAGGTGCACGCCTGTATCCGTGTCGACCAACACTCAACCTCAAAACTCTACACAAAGCCCACCAGCCAAGCTTGCGGCTAGGTTGGACTTGTCGCGGGGCAACAGGTGCGCACCTGCACCACCGCAAACTTGTGTTTTCTGACTACCCAAGTCGCAATGTCCGGCTCAACAGCGTTGTGAAGTTTGTCTGTGCGGCGGTTTGAGCGGTCGGACCTGCATCAACATGATCCTTCTACAGTTCGCGCAGCGTTTTGTCTACTGCTCTTGCCACGATCCCTTTTATCACAGACTTTTCTGCTCAACATGATAATAGCCTTATCCTGCTGCCTGTGCTTTAATGCACGACGGGACCGCCACAACCACAACACAACCACAACACCACCACCAACAACTCCTGCTCCGGCTCCTGTGCTCCTAGTCCTGTGCTCGACTGACACCGGGATCATAGTTACTAATGCAGTGCATATCACTTGGATGAGAATCCCGGATAACCCCTCGTAGTCGGAGCTGGCCTTCGCCCTCTATCCTTGGCATCCGCAGCGCTTTGGAAATCAAAGCTCTCGAGGTTTTGGGCGCAAACTGCTAAGGACTCAAAAAACAGCTTCAACAAGTGGGGAACTGGAACTCAAGAGACAGACAGGGTGGAAGCACAAAGGTGCAATGCTCGAGCAGAAGGGCACTGTTAGGCACGAATTAGGGCTTTAAGCCTCCTGGCCGACTGCCGACAAGCCTAGAGCCTTACTGTAGATGATTGCCAAGACTGTGATTACTTCTGCTACTCTTCTTAGAACTTGCGCAGCCTAGCTTTGCATTTCAAGTTTACGGAAGCAACAACGATGGCTTAGTGCTTGAGTGAAATTTTCCGCACTGGTTGTCGAGCTCAGAGACGCAGGTGTCAGAAGAAGTCCAGGCATCTTGGGCAATTTTTTGTATGAACTCCTTCCCTCAAGCCTGATGTTCAGGGGTTCATGAACTGCCTGGAAAACAAAGAGGAACCAATCACCAGTCCGTGCAACAGTCTGAACCCAACCCTTTGAGTCGAGTTTGGCGAGTGGCTCCATAGCGAAGTGTGGGGCACGCTCGACCGTCAGCTGGCACAAGGGGAACGCTTTTGGGAAATACTGGCTGCAGATCGACTCTTCAGGAAGCTGCGAGACTCACCGGCACCATTGCGAAAAGCTCTGCCAGATCGCTTCTGTTCTGCCCTCCCTGTGCCTCTAGACGAGCACGATGGATGGTGATGACGGCAGTGATAGAAGAACAGAGCACCCGGTAGTCCGACTCCCAACACAACTTCGGGCCTCGTTCCAAACATCTAGCGCCTCGGGGTTCCGCGGAACATCAGCTACACGAAGAATCGTGTACGTGGGTCTAGCAGCTGCCACATGCCTTAGACCGGTGCCATGCCAGCGCAGTCGAAGCCCGGTCCCATGTTCCTGGTGGTTCAGGCATTTTGCGGCTGAGGGATGGTTAGCAATACCATTAATAAGCTATTAACCTATATGTCTATATTGTTCTTATTGTATTTTTATGTGTTATTGATACCATTAATAATTTGAATCTGGAGCCAAAATGGAAGCTTTCATGCTCGAGCTGCTCCCGATTTGAAGGGAGGGACCCGAAGGGTCAATGCTTGGCCAAGGCACGCGGTGGTCGCAGGCACCCGCACGGTGACTCGCCTCAGCAACAGCGGCCCTGAGCTTGTGCCATTTGGGTTCTTGTGTGCCTGGCCAGCTCCGTATGTTCAACCCACTCACTGCTTGCGGCATTCCGCTAACGGAGCAGCCAGTCAAGTCCAGCGTCACAAACACTTATTCAAATGCTTTGTTGGAGTGGGGGGCGACCATGACACTCGCATGGTCACTGGCATGCAATTGATGTGGCGCCCCAGGCTCCCTAAGCGCCACAATCCCCTAAACCCACGAACACTAAACGCTGCAGGTTTTGCAGGTTGAGGTCTGGAGAAACGCAGCTACGGCTGCGGCTTTCGACTTTTCGTGACCACGCCATCGAACATCTTCTTCAGATCTGCCCTTGCCAGCCTGTAAGGTTCGAGAAAAATCACTCGCTTTGGGGTGTTACTCTCCCGCTGTTGAGGTTTTAGGGGTTTCGGAGCGAACACTCGGACATGCCAGGCGGGGCCATGGGACTCAGCCGGCGTTCAATATCACTCGGCAAGTCAGAGGCAATCGGACTTCTGAATCCTGCACCCTTGAAAACTTCATCCCATGCTAACAGGTGTGGCTGAGCTGGCGGCTCGCTGAGGCTGTGCTTTTCAGCGAACTTTTGCACCTTCACGGAGATGTGCTGAGAGTTGTGTTTTCCCAACGCTTCATGTTTTCCAAGGTGCCAAGCAAACCGTGCCATGCACGATTGCTCGCAAAAGAAAAGACGTTGTAGCACGAGATCCAGAATGCCCCGTGATTTCCCCTGTAGAAGGAGTCCGGAAACACCTACCTCTCCATAGTAAAAGCTTCGTGGCTGCTTGAAGTTTCCTTGAATAGGTTGAACACATTCGGCACCAGCGCACGCAGCTGCCCCAATATCAGGAACTCTACGCAACATTCATCGGTGTCAGTCAAGGCCTCGCTGTGCCCCCACATGGCCTCGACAAGCGACAGGTCTTAAAAGCCTTCAGTTTTGGACTCTTGCAGGGCTTTTTGACACTCACACTCGGACAAAGCCTGGCAAGGTCTGTAGCGATCCTGGTCCTTCGTTAACATGCGCCTGGCATATATCACCAGACACAACAATCACCAGCCCATCCAGCACTGTTTGCTCAACGGACAACGCTGTCAGATACGATGCTAGACAAGCCAACGCCACATTACCAACCATACTCATATCTCGCAGGGTTTAGGGTTCCAGGGCCTCCAGGATTTAGAAGTTTTCCTTAGCCGAACGACTTGGGCAGCCGATGCCTCCCAGGCGAAGAGAAGCGAAGAGAGCCTCGGTATGGAGCACGTGCTTTTGCCAAGCTTGGTTTGTATTCACAACTATCGATCTGTGGAACTGTTCCTGGCAATTACCCGAGCAACGCTGTGGTACGACGCTACATGCTGACTGGTGTGAAATGCCAGTGCCTAGCTCGGAAACTAACAAATAGGTCTAGGGATATCCGATGTCTCTGTAGTAGAGTCGGCTCGCATGTGAGTGCCGTGTGCTTCAGAGACCGGGCACACACGGCGCGGTCCAACCTACTGATACGACTCCTGTTTATAACCAATTCAGATGCCAATCAGTTGATCGAACGAATGTTTCCGGTGACGGATGAGACTATGAGGCCATGACATTCGAAATCAAGGCACTCGCGACACAGACAAAGCCACCCTGCGAAAGGGTAAACATCAGGCCGCCTCAATAGAACGTACAAAATACAGGCACCAACCTGCAACCCAAAATCTAGAGCACTGTGCAGATGAACGCATGTACAACATTGCAGCTCCACAACAAATCTCTGAGCCCTTCGAGGTCGCCACCTTAGGCTCGGCTCTGACGGTCGTGCTGCATGCCATGCAGTCGGCGCCGCGCTGAGCCGAGCAGCCACGGATGTTGGTGAACTCAAGTTCTGGGAACAGGAAGTCTGCAAGCAGCTTGGTGACCCTTGTCGTCACATGTGCGAACGTGCCCAAAGTAGCCACCGCACTGCAGCAGTACGACTTCGGGAGGGGCAAACATACAGGACTGCGGCCCCAAAGTACGCACGGGCCGGGGTACTGGGCACTGGCACTGTGGCCTGAGCTGAGCACGATGGCGAACAGTGTGCCCGAGCATGTGTTGAAAGCCAAAGCATGGCAAAGCATGGCAAAGCACCCCAACACCTGCAAGCTACTGCTGTTCCGGCCAGTTCCGGGCAGATGACAACAGGATTCCCCTCGCAGACAAATCAAACCGGAAGCAAACAAGGCCCTAAGGCCCTAAGGGCTTTAAGGCTGCCCTGGCATTTTCGAGGCATGCAAGTTCCGCAGCGCTGGCGAATGGACGCTGGCGATGTTCCGTTGGTACACAAAAGCAGACATCGCAGAGTCCAGAGCTGAGCAATCAGCCGAAGGGAGAAAGTGGGTGACACTCAGCTGTCTCAGCTTTTCCAGTGGTGGCGAGGCTTTACGCGACCCTGTTCGGGAGGCCGGCCTTCTGCAGCCAGACTCTGCTAGACTCCAGACTTCACGCAAAAGCATGGGCCATGGGCGGCCTCCCATACAAGGCCTGCAGTGCAACATCCGGAAATGTCTCGATTTCAGAGAAGCTCGGACGAAAGGAAGGGCTCCTGCTGGGCGCTCCTGTGGCGATCAAACTCGCCAAGCAAAAGCCGATCGGAAGCCAAGACAAGGACTGGAAGATTCAATTTACAGAAGCATCCTGACCCTACTTTTGGGGATCATTCGAGACTCTGTTGCATATATGAAAAGAAGTCCAAGTATGAGAACCTGGCTCTCCCCGCAGCTGCCTTTCCCAAGACTTGCAAGGACGGCTTCATGCCGAGCCTCTGCAATTCCTGCGAGGCCTTTCAGTAGCCTTCCAGGGGTGTCCGCGGCCTCGTGACCTGGCATTAGAAGAAATTCTGGTTCAGTCCCACCCTTTTCTGCCCGTCGCCCGACGCAGCTTCGCAGAAGCCTCTGGCTTATGGCAAAGCACCCCATGGCGAAATACCCAACGCGCGCTGTTAACGGTTGACCTTTTCCCCGCGAGCACTGCCCTCGGCGAAGTCTTCCACTGCATCCCGATCCCGTAGTATCTCCCGGAATCGGACTCCACGAAATTGGCCACGGGCTCTCGCTGAAAATGCGACGCAGCTCAATCAGCTTACTATCACGGCTATTGTCAGAGTTGTCATTATCGGACTTACGAACTACATTCCACTCATTCCACACCCTCCTTTCGCCTTGCCTTCTGCGTGAGGGTTGTGCTTAGCTTTGGTTAAACAACTTTGGAGCTGCGCTTGACCGGGCCTGAAAACTGCAAGTGCGGCTTTCTACGTGGAGAGCTCAACATCTTCAACGTTGGGCCGGCTGCGATGCACAAAAAACGGAACTGCACGGCTGCAGCCGCACATCTGCCGGTGAGAGCCTTGGTAGAGGAAAAAACCCACCAAAGTCACGGATTCCTCATGCCAGGACTATAGCCCAGAGCTGCCCAACAAGGCTCTCGACAAGGAAGGAAAATATGTGGCCTCTAAAACACACCATAATCGAATGGTGCCATCTGCCACAGCATTCTTCTGAGCAGAACCCACGGGCCATCGTGCAGATGTTCAAGAGATCCAGTCGTGCAAGGATTCGGTTCAGCGCATATCTCGCAGCTGCCTGCTTGCGCAAAGAAAAGGCACGAATCCTGGCACAACTGCGTGAAACCTTCCTGGCCAGTCCCGTTCAGTAAGCAAGCCGAAGCTGCATGTTCTGAGGGTCTTTAGTATACGCTGAAGGCAGCCCGAAGCCGCTTTTAAGCCTTAAGCCTTTGGGGTGGGACCGGTCCTCAGAGGGCGCTTTGGCCCCGACTTGACCTTGCAGCGAGGGTCACTTTTCTATCTCCACCGTTTGCACCCTCCACCCTCGGTCCCCAGCCAAGGAGCTTGTGGTGCTAAACTTCGCGAACAGGGACAGGGCTGGTTGCACTTCTCGTCGGTGTTGAGGAACATGTGTGTCTGGCGAACAGTGCCCAGGACACAAACAACCATCTTCTTGCATGGGTGTGTGTTGTGTCAGAAGCTCTCAGAAGGGAAGGGCCTTATCTCGTCGAGATCGGGCGGGTTCGACTCGGACATTGATTGCCGACGCCGATCGTCCGTGGCCTTGATGTGCTGATACCTTTGGGCGCTCTTTGCATCCGGGTCCACGTTTAACCCTGTTTGGGGGGTCTAATTGGGGTCATTGCTTTCTGAAACTCAGCCAGCTGAACGGATCAAGGTCACAGGTGCAATAGCCCTTCCTGACACTGCGCTGAAAACGGTGCGACAAACGTCGGGAGGTCCCTTCTCAGCATGCCAGTACATCGCCATTCGAAGCTGTAGCTTCGTCAGATGTACGGAGCGTATAAGCAAGTGGCGGTGAAGAATCACTGCCTGTCGTGGCTCCTTCTACCCGAAGCAACTTGCCGTCCAGGGCACGTAGAATTCTCAAAAACATGCTGCACGTCCTTGTCGCCTCTCACGGCGCCCAACACCTCTGCGAAAAGGACCTGTCAAGGTAGTGAGGCTGGGAGACTGAAGGGATGAAGACATGGTCGCACTGTGTTGTGGCATTGCGGCATTGCGCAATGGGTGTTTGCGACCACACGTAGTACTGGCCACATCTAGGCTTTTGGGCAGAGCTGGGCGAACCTGACTACGGAAGTTTCACACAATGTGTCGATTCAAAGCAGCTGAAGTCGCTTTCAACCCTCAATAGCAGAGAAAGGCAACTAGAATATGTCTTTCCAACCCAGCCGGGCATTCCACTCTCTCTCTCTCTCTCTCTCTCTCTCTCTCTCTCTCTCTCTCTCTCTCTCTCTCTCTCTCTCTCTCTCATCGCACCAGTAAGAATAATACGAACAAGATTTCAAAAAGCAGATAATCATCAGACTACCCACAAAGGACACCAGAAGGACCCTTGACCCACATGTCTGCCTCCAGCTTTGTCTCAATGCGCCAGATGTCCAAGGCTTTCCTGACTTCTGAGCACTGGGACTGTTGAACTTCCATAAGACAGAGACCTCAGAACATGTCACGCATCTCCGTGAAAGGGCCGCCTCGCATGAGGATCTCTCATGCAATCTTCACGCCGCAGACTGAGCACTTAATTCTACTACAATATACTATGGCATTCTATACTGGTCTATAATCTTGTGATATACCTAATTTGCAATGACATACTATGATAACTGTCGTCTGCATTAAGTTCCACTACCCATCACGGTTGCAGTCTCTTCTGCCCAAGCGACGCGCCACCCCGGAGCCGCGCCGCTCCTTCGATGAATTCCATCCTCGAAAACACCATTTATGGTACTAGTTCGGACAGTCCGAGGATGGGTGCACTACAGCCAGCCACTTTGAAGGTCCTTGATCCCGAACCTTCGTTATTCCTTCTGTCGCCCCCTTGCTGATAATCGGGCTTTTGATTGCCGAGCTGTACATGGTGGAGAAACTGTGGCCTCGAAACCATAGACCCGAGTCTACGAATGTGGCTGATCCATTACTTCCTGCGAAGCTCCGTCAGTACACAACTTCAACGTAATCATGAATGCCCTCGGTGCCCGAAGGAAGACATCTGGCTGTGCAACATGTACGTGACATCGCAGCAGCGGCTATGTTGGACAAGCAGCAAGGTGATTTCACCGTCTCCGTTGTCCAAAAATTCGAAGAGGCTCATCAAATCATGGTACTCCAACCTTGGCCAAAATCTTGTCATCCAGAAGCCTAATAAGACATGCACTAGCATCTCAACCGATGTTTGTTCTGTCCATGTCATTCAAGCATTAGATGACAGTCGCATCAAAACATCTGGCATATGCACCAAGGAACTCAAGCTGCCCCATCCAGAACTTCAGCATTGGCGAGTTGACAAGCTTGGCAAACTCCTGGCTGTACTTAAGGTCAGTTGTGCGACGAAACTCGAAGCAACCAAGTGAG